AGCTTATATACTAACTATAGGCCTTAGAATTAGGGTTTTTAATAATAATAATATAGTTATAGTAGTTCTTATAGGTATATGTTTTTTATAGTAAAAGGTAATTAAATTATTATAAGGCTAACCTTAGCTTTTTAAGAAAAAGTTTAGTAAATTAGTTAGTAATAAGCCTGCCTAAATTAACTAATTTAATAAAATTTATACTATATTACTTTTAGAATAGGGATTTTAGAGGTATAAGTACTTTATGTAGTAAAAAATAAGTACTATTGTTTGACCTACTTAATGTTATGTTAGATACCGATTAGGGCCTAAGAGGTCGAAGGCAAAGGCTCAGTGTCTCATCTCGTGTCCGTTACAGTAAGACCTGAAATTGGAACCTCCAGCTTTGCGGCAAACTAGTATGGTTCAGTTCGTTGCATGGTCAAATGTAGAGAGTAGCGGCGTTTACAATTATTAGTTGTCGGATTTATTTCCAGTTTGTAAGACTTGCTATTCGTGATTACGTTGCCTAGAGCTAATGTATTGTAAATAAGCCAACGTGCCTATTTAGCCTCTTCTCGAGGGTTACCATCTAATACTGACCACGACCAGCCTGGTCCCTGGCCTCCCATTTATTCATTCATTTTTGCCAAACACTTAGTTCCATGCTATCCAGGTAGACAAAACACATTATGCTTGACCAACATGTTCATTTGCAAGCCAGTGCAGTCCAAAACCCAACTCCAAATTTCATCATAAGCCTCTTGCCCATAGCAAAGAGGAACCCAAGCAGCCGCCAAACTCATACTGTACATCGACTATCAGTCAAAACACAGTAACGAGCTTATTCGACAGTGACCGACTTGGCCAGGTTACGAGGGAAATCAACGTTGAGACCCTCAAGAACGGCAAGCCAGTAGGCAATGAGCTGGAGAGGGATAACGTTGAGCAGACCCTGGAGAACGTCGACCGTCTTGGGTATCTCGATCTTCTCGGCTTCAGAAGACTTGAACTCCTCATCAGAGGGGTTGCAGATAACGATGGGCTTACCACCGCGAGCAATAACCTGCTGATAGGCGTTGAGTGACTTCTTGAACAGATCGTCACGGGTGAGGATCATAATTATGGGGAGGTTCTCGTCAACCAGAGCCAGGACACCGTGCTTCAGCTCACCGGACATGACGGCTTCGCAGTGAAGGTAGGAGATTTCCTTAATCTTGAGGGCACCCTCAAGAGCAGTGGAGAACTGGCTGCCACGGCCGAGAAGGAGGAGAGACTTCTGGTTCTTGAAGTTCTCGCAAAGCTTCTTGATGGAGGAGTCAAGCTCGAGGATGGACTTGATCTGGGCAGAGACGTTGGAGAGACCCTCCATGATCTCCTCCCGGCGAGCCTTCTTGGAAGCGCGGTCCTCACTCAGGGACAGAGCAAACATGACCATGGCGATGAACTGAGAGGTGTAGGCCTTGGTGGAGGCGACACCGATCTCGGGACCGGCGTTGATGTGGACACCACAGTGGGTGAGGAGAGAGATGGAGGAACCGACAACGTTAACGATACCGACAGTCAGGGCACCACGCTCCAAGCAGTAGCGGAGAGCCATGAGGGAGTCAGCAGTCTCACCAGACTGAGAGACGAAGACGCAGGTGTCGTCACGGAAGACAGGGGCCTGTCGGTCGAGGAAATCGGAAGCCAGCTCAACGGCGATGGGGATCTCAGCAAGCTCCTCAAATACACCACGGACAGCCATGCAAGAGTGGTAAGAAGTACCGCAGGCAATGAAGATGATGCGGCGGCATCGGCGAATGGTGGAGATGTAAGAGCGGAGACCGCCAAGGGTGACGGTCTTGTTGGCAATGTCGAGACGGCCACGCATGGTGTTGACGACGGACTCGGGCTGCTCGAAAATCTCCTTCTGCATGAAGTGGTCGAACTTGCCCTTCATGATCTCCTGGAGCTCGAGCTCAAGGGTCTGGATGGTTCGGACGTTGGAGCTGCCATCGGCCTTCTTGAGGCGGTGGATGTTGAGGGAGCCCTCGTGAATGTGGGCAATGTCGTCGTCCTCGAGGTACATGACCTTCTTGGTGTGCTCGACAATGGCCGAAGGGTCAGAGGAGAGGAAGAACTCAGTGGGCATGGGCATGCCATCATCAGTCATGAAAGCACGAGACTGAGATCGGTGGAGGAGAGACTTGTCGGCGGCACCGAGAAGGCCAGCGTCGGGGGACAGAAGGTCGTTCTTCTTGATGGCAACATTCTGGGAAGCGGCCTCGGCGGGGAGGGCAGCGTTCTCGTCAGAGTATTCAACATCGACAAAGTCGACCTTCATGCGGCGCTCGGTCTTTACGCCGATGACGAGAGGAGAACCCTTTCGGGCAGCGATAACCTCATGGGGGTAGTGGACGGACTTGATGAGAAGACCATAAGCACCCTCAAGCTCCTGGATGACGGCCTTGGCAAGGTCGGTGAAGCCAATGGAGGGGTGCTGGTCGTGGATGTACTTGGTGAGCTTTGCAATGCACTCGGTGTCGGTCTCAGTCTCGAACTTGAAGCCCTTGGTCTGGAGAAGAGTCTTCAACTCCTTGTAGTTGGTGATGATACCATTGTGAACAACGGTGAACTCCCAGTTGGGGTCAGATCTACATTCAGGGGTTTGTAGTTAGCACACCGTGTTCAAAATCACTCTCCCAATTCAGAACTGATCTTCGCGAATCCTCAAAATGGAACGACAAAGATCAAGAAATTAAGCAATCGGGCTGGGAATTTCGGATTTTCTCAAACGTACCGGTGGGGGTGGCAGTTGACGGTGGAAGGAGGACCGTGAGTAGCCCATCGGGTGTGGGCAATACCGGCATGTGAATCAAAGATCTTCTCGAGGTCGAGGTCGGACTCGTCAATGAGCTTTCGGAGCTTGGCGACCTTGCCGACCTCCTTGAAAGCGAGAACCTCCTTCTTGTCGCCGTCGATGGCTAGACCAGCAGAGTCATATCCACGGTACTCGAGACGGGACAGGCCTGTTTGCAAAAGGCTATGTCAGCAACACGAATCTGGACGCTGATCCCGCGTCTCACCAGTGCATGGCGGGGCGGGGCATGGCTGATGAAAGGGATGGTGAGGGGCAGCTGAGGAGGGGGAAAACATGGGCTACGCTACGCCCATGATTATGATTGTGCTTGTGCTTGTGGGTATGGGATAAGTAATTACTGACCGTTGACAAGAGTGTCGATAATGAACTTGCGGTCCTTCTCCACCAGGTAGTTGATATATCCGAAAATACCACTGATCGTAACGGTTAGCTATTGTTACTTTATTCCACCAATTGAGCCGCCGAATTCCTTCTTTGAGGTCCAGCGTTTGTCTCCCGTGCTTGGCCTTGAACCATAAACATCCATCCCATCTTAGCCTGCGTCGGTCGCAAGCAAAGAATCGGTGGAAGCTCGGTGGCTGGCAGGCCAGGCCAGGGCGAAAAGGCTAGGCGATAACAAAGGCGGTGACGGCGACGAGGAAGAGGAAGCTTCCTTACCACATGTTGACTGAGCTCTTTGCGATGGAAAAACGTGGACAATGGGTTCGTTTAGAGACGAGACGGTCGGTGAGAGTAGAGCAGAGCCGATAGCGAGCGGATATGTGTGGGGGAGAATAAGAGAGAAAACAGGCGGAAGAGTTTTGAGGACGGGGTATCAAGAAGCAATAAGGTGTAGATGAGGGAGGAGAAAGAGGAGAGAAGAGCAGAACAAGAAAGGTGAGGAGGGAGGAGGAGATGGTTGTATATGTAGTCGTTTGAGCTCCAGTCAGTCAGTCAACTTAACTACCATTGCCTTACAGCATTGGGTGAAGGCGAAAGAGGACAAAGGCGGGCAGAGCGGTCTCCGTAGAGGATGGTCCCAGCTTCTCATGGTGTGGAGTCTCTGGCCCGCACCCTCAGTGAGGTGAGCATGGAGGCTAAGCTCCCTAATGCTTAGGTACCTTAGGTAGGTATACTCCGCTATGGTTCTCACTCAAAAGTGACCTGCAACTCAGCAAGGTCTCTTTCAAACTCGCTTTTTGCTCTGCATGCATGGAGGCAGCTTGCTGTCTTGGTGGGCAGAGTGGGGTTGAGGATGACAGTAGCGGGGGTATTTTCGACAGGGCCCAGACAGGGGTGAGAGATTCCATGTTTTTGGTCTGGTCTGGTCTGGCCTGGCCTGTAGATATTTTTATCTGCTCGCTGGTCTACTCCGTATTTACAGAGACGTTGAGGAACGAACGAACTGGCGGGAAGTGGGCAAGACAGGGCAAGGCAAGGGAGCGGTAACAGAGGAATATCATGAGAATGCCTACAGCTCCTACATATCGATCGATAACAACCACACTCCTCCATAGCAACTGACCCTGACTCTGTGAGGGGCGGTTCACAGTTTGAGATGGTTCAGGGATACACCACCATCAGGCGTTTTGAGTTGACTACCTACCTACCGTACCTTGGTCTAAGCTACAGTTGAGGACTGGCCATCATCATCATCATAATCATACAGCTGAACCAAAAGATGACCAATTGATCCTGTTACACGGCATCTGTTATCGTGGACGTGGCAGTAGCTCGCGGCTGTTGAGACGTTAGCTGGAACAGAATGGAAGCCATTGTCAGCCGTGGCTAATGGTTGCATAAGGGTCCAAGGCTTCATAGCCTTCGTCCGCCTCCGGTTTGCTTTCCAATGCCTTACGCTCAGACTCGTAATAATCTGCAACAACTGGTACCTACCTACTTGACGTATCGAAGTTCTAAGAATACCGATCGCTGTTTGCCTCTCTGAATATAGCCCGCGCTTTAATAATTCCAGGGCCTGAAAGGCGGTGCCTGAGCAACCCTGGTGCAACTCCAGGTCTGTCACAGTTCAAGTTAGATCGTGAAGCTTAGTAGGTACCTAGGTCCCGTTTACCTCTCTCTACTTTCGTCATGGCAACGCATCTCGCCGAGCCGCATGTACAGAGAGATGTATCGTACCCAAGATGTATCCGTACGGAACTAACAATAATCTCACAATCCCATTATGGTGACCTCTCACAGGCAAGTTCCTGATCTACAAAGCTAATCTGACTATGAACTTTGTCTCTTACTCTTGATGCGGGAAGTTACCATGTGAGCAGAATTCTCTCTTTCACCGCACTCTCTTTACGTCGAACCACGATCTTTTCGATGTTACCATCTGTATGCATTGAGTCGGTTGTTTGTCACTTATCATATCTGCAGAACCCACCATAAGCATCGTCATCCACCACCACCACTCCTCCACCTCCGCCTCCACCCACCTACAGCACGCCTAAACCAGCCTCACGGGGTTCCCGACTAGCCCGAGCCTTGTCAACACCAACAGAAGAGCGGAAACTTGCAGCTCGTTGCAACTCGTTCTACTTTCTGCCACTTAGAGACCAGAAAGAGAAACGGCAGCGTTATCGTGAAGCGAGAGATCTGCGCTTCCATACGAGAAATGTCTTCCCCACTCGCGCCTTTGTTCGTTCGTATTGACTCCCGGCCTACGTAGCCAAGGGGATGCAATAAAACTTAGGACCTTTATCCTGGGTGACAAAAAGCCTTAGGTAAACTTAGGTAAGTTTAGTGAGGTTTTAGATGATCTTGGACTAAGTATTTTTAGCACCTTAACTTAACGTCAGGAGTCTTCTTACACCCCGAGGGTAGCCAAGGTCTCAGGGACTTCCTCGCAGTCGCTCACTCAGTGTTAGGCTGCGGAAGCTACCAGTCGGCATTGGGAGATCCCCTGCATCTCTTCCTGTGGAGGTGTGCATGCATATGCAGATATGCAATGCGTGCCCCTGAATTCGCCCGTTGTTTTCTTCTTCTTCCTTAATCCTGAAGCTTGTGCTACTTCCCACAATGGTGACTCTGAAACAAATGGCGTCTATGCAACTAAAGATCAACAGATAGATACTTCACTGCAACAACAAATACATAGCTGACACTGACTTTTTGGGGGGTCTTCTGTAACCATGGGTACCCAGACAGTGATACATTGACGGCCTTAGCATCAGATGGATCGTCCCTAGGTCGTGGGTCTCTCATCCAATACCTTGTGTTTGTTTGTCGATTCGAAGTTGAATCAGTTCGCTTCAGTTCATTTGTTAAGATTTCACAGCCTCAATCGCCCCAACCGAAAAAAAATACAATCTCACTAAGAATAGCAACCCGTTCTAACTAGCGCCAATTCCGTTCCGCTCGCCGTTGTTTCCCATCTCAAGTGTAAACGCGCTTCTTGGCTTGTTTTTCTTCTTCTCGATGTATTCTAGCCCCTGTTTATCTCCGTAGCTAGCATTCATTCCTATCAATCTTGTTTTCGGTCTTGTTTCTCTTGATTCGCTTTCCGTCGTCGGTTGACTTGCCGATTAACTACCTAGTTCCAGACCTTAACCAATATGCGATTCTATTGTTAGCATCAACCTCCTTATGTACGTCATCGTCTCCCCAAACTGAGACCCCTATGTTAAAGATATCAACTCCATGCTTCTCTCCATTTTAGCCTTGCCCTTATCCTCAAGCCTGTGTTCCTATAGAGATTACGGATACGCTCGCTCTCCTTCAGGGGTGAGCTGTAGAAACAGACCATCCAGCTCTCTGACATCAGCCACGTTGGCCTAACAGCGACCCCGCTGAGCAGGGCAAGTTCCCACTGTCATCATTAAATAAAGGATGGTGCGTAAGGTGAACCCTGGTCAGAGTCCTGTTGCTGTGGCTGTTTGTTTATGTGAGAAGGAATCCTTTTACACCAACTGTCTATCTGTCCTTTCTTCAGCACTAACAACCTAAGGTAAAAGAGAGTTGATAATTAGAAATTTCTAGTACAATCTATACCACACTATCAGAAAAGGTCGCCTTTTGTAGAACAAAAACGCCAAGCTGAAAATGCCCCTCAGCCCTAAGCTTAAAGATGCCATAAGCTGCCTTATCCTCCTCACTTCAGTCGTTCATCTTGACTACTTGCTTACTAGTAGTAGGGGTATAATAGACCTCGTCTTGCATAATTTCATAATCTTACTCCCTCCCGAGCTGACTTTGGCCAACCGACAGTCTCACTCAGAAGAATCAGCCTTGCGAGTCAAGGCGGTTGTTTCATGGCAACTCTAGCCTCTCACCAATTGTATCAACACCTTGCGACACAACTCATGGCAAAGGATCTGGCTGCTTACATTGTAGGCATTGGCATATGAATCTCACGCTCGTCAAAATACGTATTGTGATAGTCGCAAGAAACTTTCCTGCTTTTCCAGGACGCCATGTACATTCCTGCTTGTAGGGCTGAGCTAATCTATCGCTGTTTGCCCTGACTCTATTGTACAGTCTTACACGGATTACCTAGCAACGCTGGGTCATCAGCTTCCGTCATCCTTGAGCTTCCATGCACCTTTCCACTGTTATATCTATCCATCTTGGTCTAGCATGACACACCCTTCGCCGCTTACAGCTTCTGGTACTCAAGCTTGCCCTCCAACTTCTTGGATTCCGCGACCTTGCGAACAGCCTTGTTGAAGTCGTCCTGATTGATCGAGTCTCGGTAGTCCTTGATAGCAAATAGACCGCTGTATGCATGTCAGATTCATTAAGCTCGTCTTCTTTTCTTTTACTGTTTTGGGATGAAAACTTACGCTTCAGTAACCACGTTTCGCAAATCAGCACCATTGAGTCCGTCACTCATCTTCACCACGCTTTCGAAATCAAGGTCCCCATCGATTACCACGCTTTGTGAGTGAATCTTGAGAATCTCGAGGCGTCCGACCTCGTTGGGCAGAGGAATCTCAATCTTTCGGTCCAGTCGACCAGCACGAAGGAGCGCAGGGTCCAATGTATCAGGTCGGTTGGTTGCCATGATGATCTTGGTCTTGCCCAGATAGTCGAAACCATCCAGCTGGTTGAGCAACTCCATGAGTGTTCGTTGAATTTCACGATCAGCACTAGTGCCCTCAGAGAAACGACGGCCACCAATAGCATCAATTTCGTCCATGAAAATGATGCAAGGCTCGTGCTCTTTGGCATAGCCAAACATCTCGCGGATCAGTCTTGCAGATTCTCCAATGTATTTATCGACAATAGCGGAAGAAACAACTAGTTTACTGTCAGTGATGCCCTTGGTGAAGTAATGTCAGCGCGTGAGCCATACCCTTCAAGAAGTTGGTCTCTAGACTACTAGCAACTGCTCGTGCCAGTAGGGTTTTTCCAGTTCCGGGAGGACCATACAACAGAACACCCTTGGGAGGTTTGATGCCCACTCTGAGGAACAATTCGGGGTTCTTGAGGGGGAGCTCAATGACTTCTCTGAGCTCTCGAATCTGATCGTTCAATCCACCGATACCAGCAAAGCTGACTTGCCCTGGGTCCTCCAGAGACATGTTGTACACCAAGGGGTCGACTTCGCGGGGGAGCATTCGCATGATGGTGAGTGTCGTCATGTCGAGGGCAACACGGGTGCCTTGCTTGAGCTTGACCTTGTCGACCTTTGATCTGCATCCGACAACATATCGTGGCCCCGATGAGGCCTTGACGATAACTGCGAGTATAACCGTTAGTATCCGTCCATCTTGTACGAGTCCATATGTTGTTCGTCCTCACATCGTTCGTCATCCAGCTGTTTCAGTACCTCGCCGATGATCTGTCCCACACTCTGTAGCGCCTTGATGTTGTCCTCGGTCTTGTCAAACTCTCGCTGCATGTCCTTGATCTCTAAGCGCAGATTCTTGAGCTTTGCCTCCCATTCTCGCGACTCCATGAGTTTCGTACGGTACGAGTTAAGGGCAGCCTGGCGCTCGTCTTCGGCAGACATTGTGAATAACTTTATTCCGATACTATTTTCGTGAGTTGTATACTTTGAACGTTTACTTCTTTTCTTTGAAAATTCGTCGGTCTTGGGCGTTGTCTGTAGGGTATCGAAAGCTCGGTTTATGTTGACGGAAAGGTGTTTGGATTGGATGGTGATGGTGGTTGCCTATGGGAGATAGAGAGCTTACCTCACCAGCTGGAGCCTTCCACTAGCGGGCTCGAGCTGCACCGGCAGAATCTCGGCTTATGCTACGTGCAAAGCTCCCGTCCCGTCCATTCAAGGCACCTAAGGCAGTTGAAGAGAATAAGGTAATGAATGAGTGGCTCTATCTCTGAATACCTACGGTATGACCATGCATATAATGTGATAGATCTTGGTTTATTTGCAATTTGGCCTGTAGCTTTTTTTCTTTCTTCTTTTTGATATACCTACCTATGTATTCAAATACCATTGAGTCCACTGGCAAGCCTAAACTGTTCTATTTGTGGCTACCCCTACCCATGTGTTTTGATTATTTTGTCAGAGCATTATTGCCTACCTTACCCTGCGTCACTCAGTTCACTCTCGGATCAGTGATGCTTCATTGGAGACAACGATACTGTAGTTGGGTTTTTTATACTGCAATTGGTTCGAAATAAATTCACTGCTCGTCTATTCTTTGCCAAAGGACTTGGTTAGGTCATAGCGCATCTCGCAACAATTCTTTCTCAAACTTCGATGCGGCAAATCATCATGTGGTTACCGTCACTACCTGTACTCTTCGAATGAGCAGCACCACACAAGGTACTAGGTAGGCATGAAGGAGATATGTCACTGAGAGACAAAAAAGAAAACACAGTACAACACGTTCCTATGTATCAGGTCACTCACGCCAGCCGGCATTTATGGACGCAAAGATCTTCAGCATTTCCTCTAGTGGCCGAATTTCCAAGATCAAAGACGATTGTAAGTCAAGGAATTTCGTAGCTCTCATTAGATGTCTAATCTACTCAAAAACACGATTTCTAGGTACATCCTGACCCAGCCTTAAGCTTTGCGCGCATAGCGCATCGTGCCTATTGCTCTCTTGTCCTAAAGATGGACAGGGTGTCGGGAAGAGCAAAAGGTGTGCCGATTTCAGAATGAAGGGCCAGGATACATCCAAGTGATGGCAAGGGCCAAGAATTTGGCTAACGATCCTTTAAATAGCTGGAGACGGCCTGCTGATGATGTTGAGTCGGGTATAGGTTGCAAAAATATTTATCTTCGTCATCCGACTTGGCATCAGAGGTTATAATGTCCTGGTGAAAAGTAGTTGCTTCACCCAGAAACGCGGCCCTGGATCTACCAGCGGCTGTTCGAAGCACCTTGAATTGCAGTGATAGTTCTCGAGTCGAAGTCGCATAAACTGTCTCAGTCCTTCTTTTCACCCTCGTCGTCAGTGACCGCCTTCTTGGGCTCACCCTCAGCGTCGAAACCGAGTGCATCCAACTCTCTAATGAGTTCGTTGATTTTGATGACCTTTGCGATTTGCTCGGGGAGCAGAGCCTCCCCACCTTCCTTCTTGTTCTTGAGGTCCTTAGCCTGCTTTAACTTCTTCTTAAGATTTCGGGCCTTTTTCTCGCGCTCAACTTCCGGATCGACTTCCTCGGGCTTTGTCTCTTCCGCAAGGGCCGGAGCGTCACCGTCTGCAGCCTTTGCCTTTTTCCGAGCCTCGCGACGCTTGGCGTTCTTATTGCTTGCGGTAGAGCTTTGTTCAGAGCTCTCTTCCTTCAAGCCCGTAGCACCCGGGATGCCAATCTTCTTACCGCGCTCGCGAAAGGCCTCGGCAGTACGGTTCTTGTAGACTTCGACATCCTCAGGAGGGCGGTATCCCGGACGAATTTTGATAGCTTTGCGGGTGCTGCCATCTGCGCGGACAGACTGCGGGATCTCTCGGTCACCACTGTTCTCGTCGGTGACAATACCCGCGTTCGAAGGCTGTGAAGGCATGGCGAAAAAAGAGACGGAGCAAAAGGAGAGTCAATTCGATTCGAGAGAGCGCCTGGGTCCGACGCTGGACGTTGTCGCAGACAAACAGGGTTTGGAATCTGCTCGGCAGGTACCGAAGCAGGTTGAAAGCTTTGGCTTGGAGGGGTCAAGTTGGAGGGGAGGGGCTGCGAGTGGCTGAAAGCAAACAGCGCCACATGCATGTGGCTACATCAGGGTTTAATCCAGGATTATACACAGATGCAGCCTTGATTGAGTACCATTGCATGATTTATGCAATGTAATTATGTTTCATCACGCTCCCTCGAAGGCGTCCCAAATCATGATCACAATTGCCCAAGCACGCCTGTGTCCCCTGGAGAGATTTCCGCCGGGGCCGTGGGAGCCAAGCTGTTACTATAAGTACCTACCTGCCTACCTAGTACATACTGGACACAAACAACAAGGGAATATCCCTGCTAATTTGAGCTTATTTGAGCTGGAGCCCTCTCATTGGTAGATGTCTCGAGCTCGATGCCCTGCAGGGTGCCTTGTTTCAACCTTTCCTCATGTAAAACGGTAAAAGGACGGATGCCCACGTTGCAGATGTGCCCTGGTGTAAGCGACATAAATCCTCTGACCCGTCATATCTGAAGAGTGCCTAAGTTACACAGCCTCACTTTCTAATTTTCTTATTCCTCAGCTTCCTTCTCGAACGTGCTTCACTACATCATGAAAAGCCTTGCTAAACTATGAAGGTATGGTGAGAGGATCTGGCTGACTATCATGCAAGACCACAAGGAGAATGGAAGGATTTCCACGTCCTACATAGGTAGCCCATAAGGTACGGACGGGAGTGGAAAAAGCCATATGGTGTAGATAGCTTGCCCCCCCTCTGAATTGAAATGGTGTGCTGCCACAGCTCAAGCTTAACACACCGTTATTTGAGGAGCGTTGAACGAGGCTTCTTGCATAACGAGAATGGCTTTCACATATTTGACCCAGTCAAATTACTGCAATCAGTCACTGGCTGCCTCATGCATACGTCGTGGCAGGTCGAGAACCTACAGAATTATGCCTAATGGCAGCCTCTCGCACGACTTTACTTGTGACAGTGGGACACAGGGCAAGGCTCGCCTCCGCTACAAGCGTAACCAGTGCTGTTTGGTGAGTGTGTTGGGCACATCAAAAATGTGCTTGTTAGGCGTATTACTTTTTGGCCTTTTTCATGCTACTCGTGTTTGGAGTTCAATATTTGAGACCTTCTCCCAAATGTTCCCATCTTTGTTTGCGTATCACTACCGAAGATTAAACCTATGATCAGCTAGCTTCGTCATCCTTTGTGTATCATTAATTGGGATTTTTTGAATGTTGTTGACACAAAGCGGTCTCATTCACCTACCACGTGTCTGGTTGTTGAAATGGACTCTTGATATTACTTACCTTAGTACACTACGCACCTCAACCTCAAAGAAGGATCAACTTAAGCTTAATATCTTGTTCCTAGTAAGGGATAGTAGCAGTGCGTAATTGCGTACGGAAATATCCCTTTACTCTTGGGCCAGCGCACCAAGAATACCCAGGTAAGGCAAGGCAAGGTAAGGCTGCCTCAGGTAGTAACCACAATCCAATAGATACTTCCCTACCTTGCCACAACAAGGATGAATCGGGGGGTATTTTGCTTCAGCAAGTACTAATTACTAACCTATGTACTAGGTACTAAGGTAGGTCTAGTACTTATCTAACCGCTGCTGTGTACCTAGGTACCTTAGGTACGGTACTGCCTTACTTTATATGAACTCAGCAATGTCCTATCCGTCTCATTACAATCTGCCAATCACTGGCAAGTGCTACTGCCTGTGTCATTGTCCAAGGTAAGTCGGTAACTTGATTTTCCTGCCCTTCCCCTCTTCGAAGACCTTAGAACCAAACTTGCCTCACAATATAAAGGGAGGCCTCTTAATCGCGGCATTCTTGTTCTGCTTTTATACTACCCTACTTAAGAGCTGTCAAGGCTTTCTCAGGAGTTGGTCAATTATCAATCTCGACCCTGAAGCTCCAACACTCACCACCATCGCCAAGATGGCAGCTCCTCATATATCACAGGAAGAAAAATCCCCTGGAAACGACCATGTTGCCACCAAAACAAGTCTACTAGACACTTCAGATGCATTGACTCCGGACCCAGGCACCGAGGACATGTTCAGAACTGGGAAAAGCAAATTTGCGTTCAGTCCAGGTCAGCTTTCTAAGTTGCTCAATCCCAAGAGCCTTAACGCCTTTTATGCTCTTGGGGGAATTGATGGTATAGAGAAGGGCCTACATACAGATCGCAATGCTGGCCTCAGTACCGACGAGTCCACAGTGGATGGAGAGGTCGCATTCCACGACGTTGCGCCAAAAGGAACACCAAAGCACGGGACGGCTGGTGATGCAATACCGGAGAGTAATGCTGAAGCGGCAGTTGATATTCCTCCTCCTGAAGATCCCAACCCTACTGGGATTTTCTGCGACCGAAAAAAGATCTTCAGAGACAATTGCCTTCCTGATAAGAAGACAAAATCTCTCTTGGAGATTGCCTGGACTACCTATAATGACAAAGTTCTCATTCTCTTGACCATTGCGGCGATTGTATCACTAGCTCTGGGCCTTTACCAAACCTTTGGAGGTGAGCATAAAAAAGGTGAGCCCAAAGTCGAATGGGTTGAAGGTGTCGCAATTATCGTGGCTATCGTGTAAGTAAATGCTCCAGTCACGCCAAGATTCAACACTAACAGAAGCTGGCAGTATTGTGGTGCTAGTCGGTACAATCAACGATTGGCATATGCAGCGACAGTTCACCCGGCTCACTAAGAAAACCAATGATCGTATGGTCAATGTTATTCGTTCAGGGAAGTCTCAAGAGATATCCATCAACGACGTAATGGTCGGGGATGTCATGCATCTTGCCACGGGAGACATCGTACCAGTAGATGGCATCTTTATTCAAGGCAGCGCCGTCAAGTGTGACGAGTCCTCAGCTACTGGAGAGTCGGAACTACTCCGAAAGACACCAG